CCTCAAAACTGTGAAGCTTGTTAAAGTGGTATATTAAGGCTGGCTAAGGTTTGAATCTGAAATTTTCCAGACAGGCTCCTGTTTTGAATACTTGTCCCACATCTGTTGGTACTAATTTGAAAGGCTCCAGAATCTCCAGGAAGTAGAAACTAGTGGGTACAAGAGGGTCATTAGTGTGCAGATCTTTGAAGATACACGCAGTGCCTGGTTACTGTCATGTTTCTACTTCATGATGCTCCATGGTCTATGAAGTATCTGCCACATACTCCAGCCACCGTGAACTAAGCAGCTTTTCTTATGCCATCTGTTAGTGTGTTTCCTGACTGCTCAGTCCCGAAATAATCACACAGAAACTAAATTACTTAAAGCACTACTTAGTCCATTAGCTCTAGCTTCTTATTGGCTAATTCTTACATCTTAATTTAATCCATCTCTGTTAATCTGTGCAACACCACGAGGTCGTAGCCTACCAGCAAAGTTTCAGTGTGTCTGTGTATGGTGAAGACTCCATGGCTTCTCTCTGACTCTGTCTTCTCTCTCCTAGCATTCAGCTTAGTTTTCCCCACCTAGCTCTGTTCCCCTATAGCTCTGCTATAGGCCTAAAGCAATTCCTTTATTTATCAATGGTACTCACAGCATACAGAGGAAAATCCCACATCAATGAAACACAAACTACCATTAGCAACTGAGTCAAAAGCATCCTTGCCCCTCTTCCATTGCTTCTGTCAGATATGGTGGCCATGGAGCTATGAAAGTACACCACATTCGGCTTTACAAAAGAAAACGCCTTACTGATTTTTCTCAACTTGCTAAAATGTTTTTACTAATTTATGAGTTCATAGCTGCAAAGAGAATGAAAAATGTGGTTCATGTTTTTCCAGCATCATAGAAATTCATTCTATAAAGGAATCTCAGATGCACTTACAGTGAAAATGTTTTAAGTCAATGTTTAACTCGGAAAGATTTGTTCTTCCAATGCATACTGAGTGCTTAGCAGCTGTCAGTCTGCTTCATTCTGGGTAAAGAAGAGATCTAGCGGTCATATTGTGGAACTAATATCAAACGTAACAAAAATAAAAGCATAAAATGCAAATAACCTAGAAATTATACTCAGTGCTATATAAATCATAAAAAAATTACAGGAGGCTGCTATCTAGGTACACTAGATAGCGTGGTCATAAACAGCCTATGTGGGTTTGGGGACCATAACCAAAGCAGGAAGAAGCAACAAGCAAGGGAAAGAGCATAGCTTAAGGAAGGGCAACTGGAAAAGCTCTGGCTAGGCCAGCAGAGAACTGAGGGAGAAGCTTTGTGCATCTCCAAAACCAAAAGAGATCAAAGTTGACCAGAGTTTACAGAGAATGAAGAAAGGAGAAAGACAGTTTAGAGAAAAGAAGCAGGCAGAGGCCCGATTATACAGGATCAGGGAGGAACTGGGATTTTATTCAAAGTGGAGGAGGAAGCTATTTGATGTGTTATAAAAATTACCATGGTTGGGGGGATGTGTGGGGGGAGGATATGTGTGTGGGGTGTCCATACGACAGAATGTAGCTGGAAGTGAGAGCGCCACTCTATAGAGTTGGTTCTTTCCTCTCACTTTTATGTGGAGTCCCAGGAATTGAACACACGTTATCAGTCTTTCACATCAAGTACTTTGACCTTGTGAGTCAGCCAACCCCATCTTATAAAAAGGCTAGAAATACAATTATATATTTAATATACATACTAATTTGTTTATTTATTTTTAACAGTGGTTCTCATGTTGTAGCCAGGCTGGTCTGTAATTCACTGTGTAACTCAGATGGTCTTCAAACTCATGCCATAGCCTCCTGGGTGCTAGAATTACAGGGGCGAAACACCACATATGCTTCTAGATTTTTGGTTTAAAAAAAAAAAAAACCAAACAAACCACCAACTGGTATAATTGAGAAACAGCAGGAGACAAAATAAATGAAACATAAACATGATGAATTAAATATAAAGCTTTATTTAAACACAAAAATGTATATCACAGATTCTAAAAGAGTACAAAAAGAGAACAATACATAGCCACCCAAAATGGAGGTTTCTACATATAGTTGAAAATAAACTAGTTGAGAGCCTGAAAAGAGTAGACTATAAGATGATTATAAAAATACTGTCTACTCCTCTGAAAATTAAGGAAGTGTGTCACGTGTGGGGAAACACCATAACACCCCTGGGGTATTATGGTGGTAGGATCCAGATTTATAACACAAATGGGGGGAAATTACCTCCGATCTAGTTGGTTTAACAAGACTGAGACTTCCAGTTAAACTAATCTGTAGAGATAATCTCTCAACCCAAAGAATTCGCACAGACCAAGGACATTTGGAGCTAATCTCTCACTAAAATATCCTATACCATTTGACAAAAGCAGGATTCATGAGCAAGGGCCGACAGAACAAACAAGAGATTTAGAATGCTGCAAATGGGAAAATACAACTTTATACAGATGGATTTTATTAGCTTTTATTATATCTTGCTGGTGCCTTGATTTGCATTTTGGGGCAAGGCAAATCTTTTAAAATGCCATAACTAGAACTCTATTAAGATTAGTGATAAATCTTGAAACTCATAGGAAGAAAATAAATGTATAAAATGCAACAGGGAGCATGCAATTGGCTGAACACTGTTACTGGATTACTTCTAAATGACTATTGTGTGCAGAGGACAAACTGAATAAATTACCAGATTGTGACTGATTATGACATACTATTCTGGAGTTAATGTATTCCTGTAACATATCTAGTCTATTTGCAAAATGTGAACAAAACTAAGCCTTTTGTAGGGCATTTTACCTTGTAAATGCATTGATAATAAACCCATCTTTAAGATAAACATGTGTGGTATCCTTGAATTTTGGAAAACCCATTCAGTTTTAAAACTCAAAGACTATAAGAAAATGTCTAACATTTCAATCCTTGGTACCATACTTTATTTTCCAGTATACTCCTTTATTTCAACTTGATTAAAAGTATTGACTCTTACACCAAAAATTACTTACTGAAATTTCAAATGGAGCCAAGGTATTGTGGTTTGCTTTTTGTTAGCAAAAATAGTGGAAAAGAACATTTTAAAACAGAGTAATTGATCTATTTTTTTTAAAGCCTGACCTACACATTTCGACAAGCATTTCATCTTTTAGTCTTCTAAATACTACTTAAAACGAAGAAATAGAAGTTCAAGAAGTTAGCTTTAAGGAAAACAAAAATTCATCAATTAGGACTTGAGCGGTGTGGTGAGGCTTGTGAATTGGAGATCAGCAAAATCTCTTGCGATACGGAGACTCATTCGTCATAAAAACAAAGAGACAAATCAGGTGGGAAGCAAACTAACTCTGGAAGTTGCTACTTTAGGCAGAGAACTGGCCTTTGGCTATGTGGCAGCCTCAGGACCTACAAGCCGGGCCCGCGCCTGTCCAGCCCACCTCCCAGGCAACCCAGCCTGCAGGCTCCGCCCAGCTGGCCACACAGGACCCGCCTCCTTCCGGCCTCCTCTGCCACTGCCTCCCTGCCTGATGTCCTCCGCCCTTCCTCACATTCTCATCGCCCCCATTTCTCTCCAAGTGATGGAGCTAGAAGAACAAAAGCCCGCAACAGAGACTTGCGAAGTGAGGCTCAGGCTCGGGCGGCGCGGTCCCCGGAGCCGGCTCTTCAGGCATCGCTCGGGGCAGCCCCGCGGGCGCCCTCACCTGAAGTCCGAGGGGGCCTCGCTCCCCAGCTCGGCGCGCTGATTGGCTGGTGGCCGTGCCGCGGAAGGAACCCGGATGTGCCCGGGGAGCTGTGTTGGCAGTGGGCGAGCTGAGTTTGGGGCGCTCCTGGGGTCTCGAGGGCCGGGCGGATGGCTCAGGATTGGGCTGGCTTCTCGGAGGAAGAGCTGAGGAGGCTAAAGCAGAATAAAGGTAGCGTGGATGTGCGCGCGGGTGCAGAGCCTTGCACCCGTCAAGGACTGGAGGCCTCGCGGGTGGGTGAGGGGGCGTGGGGCCTGGAGCAGCAAGTGGGCGGGCAGGGCCGGTGGGGCGCCCCAGGGATGATGGGGCTCTCCAGGTGGGTGTCTTCGCAGCCGGGGCCAGAGAGGCGGACCCGGAGGGTTTCTATCTTAGGATCCGTTCTACAGTGACTTTTTCAGTAGAAAGGAACGAGACTAGGGAGAGAAAGCGAAGCTACCACCCGAAAGGCTCCTCCAGAGAGGATCGTAGCTGACTTGGGGTCAGGGTGAGTGGAGGGGAGGATTGCCTAGAGCATAATAACTGGGGTGAACTTAGAAAAGCAGGAGGGGATCGTGAGAGTGAATACGTGCAAAAGAAATGGTTTTTATCGTCATTGCGTCCACTTCTGGTTATCAGGTGATTTTGTAGTTCTTTCCAGTTTCGGAGAGTCAACAAACCGAAAGGATTTTTGAGGGGCTCGATTTGCAGCGCGTGTGTGTGCTTGTGTGCACGTGCACAGTACATTCACACATCCTGGGAGTACAAAATATATATCACTGAATTGCTCTGCAGGTTGCTTCTGATGAATTAGTTTTCCGATGCTTGGCAGGAAACGATATGAAACGCTCTTGACCTGAGATTGAAATTTCACACAGATGTTTGTGGTGATCCTGGCAGTGCCCAGCACTTCTGGGAGAACTTTCTGTCACTCGTGGCAACGTTTAAAAAAATGCTTTGTTTAGTTAGGGATAAAATTAAAGAAATCCTTCTATGTCTATAGTTGGTGAGAAGTGTGGATGTAGCTCAGGTACTTTGTAATTTTTCGCCAAGATGTGAGACTTATCCAGGGCTGACAGGTGCAAAAGGAAGTAAACTGCTAACATGGGCTCGGTGTACTTTATATACATTGGGGACATTGGGCCGGCCCAGGGAAGGGGCTTTTAAAAACTCTATCATAAGATGATGCTATCAGGTGTGACCCGCTGATGCTGTTCTGATTGATGCCTTTAGATTCTTTTGTTATGTAACTTCGTTCTCCATTCACAAGTTTATAATACTGTATGCCTTGTTTCTGATCTGACTTTCAAGTTGTGGGCATCAGCATCTGAATTAGGTGTGTTGTCTGGCCCAAGGGCCCTTTCCCTCCTTGTCAAGGGGGATGCTAACATCGTGCAACACAGCCTCCACAGTAGAGATGTAAAGATGAGCAGGGCGTCTTTGCCTTCAGAAAGCTTGTAGATTAATGAGCCAGACCATAAAATAGTATGGTAATAGATATTGCACAAGTGGTAGCCATAGAGCAACCTCACACTAAGGATTTGATGCACCCTGGAGCTATTTCATGGAGGTTAAATGTTGGCAGAAGTTAGCTGGCCAGGGCAAAGGTTTAATGAAGGACTCTAATATGATTGTTATCTAAAAATGTATCTTAAAGTATTTCTGCATTTTGGATTTGATTGGACAGTGATAAGGACCTGAGCGTCAAGACCTGTCATTTGGTGGTGTAATTTAGACTATGGATATAAAGTCACTTACCTATGACTGCCATGAGAACCAAGGAAACATCTGTGTGTCTATGTGTAGCTAATGTGAACCAAAGTGACTGGCATTAAAAACCCCAAGGTCTTGGGTTTCCCAGTTTTAAAGCTGCAAAAATTGAATCTTATCGCAGCTGTGAAGAATGAAGTTAATCTGGGAAGATGGGATTGGTTGCTGACAAAAATCAGGACAGGGTGTTTCTGAAACACTTGAGTGCACATGTAGTCAAGAATGTTCTTAGCCATCTTGTTTATAATATCCAAAAGTTAAAAACAAACCAATTGTCTATTTACAGGCGAGAGGATAAATAACTTGTGCTAGTTAGTGAGATTCTTTTAATCACTAGCTACTTTCAGTAATTTATAAATTACATAAATATGTGCAGAAGGAGCAAGTAGGTCTGATAGAGTTTATATATGAACGAATTATGTGAAGCAGGTGTATTTTAATACGGATATTGTTATGTCTGAAGACTATCAAAGGAATGAAACACAGAATTATGATTGGTAGAGGGGCAAGGGGATGTGAACAGAGGGAGAGAGATAAACATACAGAGGTATTGATAATTAAGAAATCAGGCTAAGACAGTTTAAATTGAAGCAAACTTTAACATAGCTAATTCTTTGAAATAATGAAGGTTTAGTTTTGGTTTAGTGGCATGTGTAACATGGGTTGCCAGGTGAGGCTGGTACAGTCATTCCACACTGACTTTTGATGCTGTCACATGGAGTTATATGTGACAGGAAGAATAGAAGATTGGAAATTGAACATTGGTAATTAAATGCTTTCACTAGAAAATAACTAATAAAAGTAAGTCATAATTTTAGGGGCTGGAAACATTTATATGTGTCTGAAATGGAGGGGTGGTAGTCAACTGCAGTCATTGATGTCTTAAAAGAAATTACTTTCAATCGTACAGATTGGAAGAATGTATGGCATACATATACACATACATATATACATGTATATTTGTATATACACATATGATCTGAGGTGATTTAATATGTAAAAAAATGGAAGAATGCGATGCAACCTGCTCTGCCAGTTTTAAGATATTTATTCCTGGGGGCTGGAGAGATGGCTCAGTGGTTAAGAGCATTGCCTGCTCTTGCAAAGGTCCTGAGATCAATTCCCGGCAACCACATGGTGGCTCACAACCATCTGGAATGAGGTCTGGTGCCCTCTTCTGGCCTGCAGACATACACACAGACAGAATATTGTATACATAATAAATAAATAAATATTTTAAAAAAGTTGCTTTTAAAAAAAAGGTATTTATTCCTGGGTGTCCTTTATTATTCCTTATGATTTATTTATTGTATATATGTGTATGAGCCCTTTTGCCTTGGCTCTAGCATGGGCATGGTAGTCAGAAGATGTCTTGTAAGAGTCAGTTCACGCCTTCTATCATGTGGGTCATAGGGATCAGAACTCGGGTCTTGAAGCTTTGTGACAAGTGCCTATATCTGCTCTGCCATCTCGCTCACTGCCGTTAATCTTGACATCAGTATTCACTCTGGTCCCTTTTTACTAATTTCCTTCCTAGTCTAAGCATTTATACTTATCTACAAAAACTTTTTAGAACAATTTTACCTAATTTCAGTGGATAGGAATTTGGTTAGAATTGCAGTGAATCTGGAGCTGTTTGATATTATCATGTTATTAACACTACCAGTAAGGGTGTATGGCTTCCACTCATTTAGACCGTCTGTAATACCTTGTAACAAATCTTAGAATTTTTTGCCCCCTATAAATCTCGAATGTTTTGTATTGTTAGATTTTCTTCCCTGGATGTATGACCATTTCTGGTATTAAAATATTCTCTCTTTAATTGTGTTATCAATTCTTTGCTAGTAATGTGTGAATAATACAAGCTAAAAGAAGTAATAGATATTTCAAAGTAAAGGAATATGAATAGATGCTAACCATCAACAACAAGCAGAACTTAAAAATCAAAAACAGTGAGATACCACCTTAGGGCTCTCTTGGTGACTGCAAGTCAAACATTAGACCGAACAATACATGTATTAAAGTGGATTTGTACATACTGCTGGGAGAAATGCATTTTGGAAGACAGTCTAACATCTAATGTTATATTTTAACACCTGGTACTTCGGGAATAATACCCAAGGCAAAATTTAGCACATAAGGAAGTTGTAACAGCCCAGTTCACAGAAGTAACCAACCTAAGTGTCCTTGGGAAGAGATGAATAAACTCCGGTTTGTCCCTCTGGATGACTCAGCATTTGAAGAGAATGGCAGTGATGGGGCCAGTAGTGGGGATGAATATTGTCAGTGTGATGCTAAATAGAGAAAAAACTTGACAGTACACTTTTTGTAAAATTAATACATTTTAGGAATATTTGTAGACTTATCATTTCCTTATGCTCAACAACACATGATTCAGATGGTAGTGAAGACGGGTCAGGGAGTGGGGCTTAAGGAGTAGACAGAGAGTGGAGCTCACAAGCAGCCTGTTGGCTAAATTACACACGTGGAAAGTTATTAGGGGCTGAAGAGAAAACTCATCAGTTAAAGAACTCTCACTGCTCTTCCAGAGGACCCAGGTTCAGTTCACAGCACCCACTTGGCAGCTCACAACCTTAAGTAACTAAGGTTTCTTGAGATCTGACGGCCCCTTCTGGCTTCTGATGCCACTGCATGTACATGCTATACTTACATGCAAGCAAAAACCTCATATACATAAAATCTTTAAAAACATTGTTTGACTTCTCAGGATTTTTTCCCTTCCTGCTCTTGACTATCCAGTTTTTAAAATATTAGTAATGATATTCATCAGAATTGTTTACAAAATTTGCATGTGATTGTTGGCCTTTGTTTTTTGATTTTTGTTTTGCTTTATGGTTCTGAGGATCGAACCCAGAGCCTCATATTGTTGCTTCCCCTCTGAGCTGCATCCTCAGCCTGGCCTTTAGCTGGAACACGCTGCTGAAGACTAAAAGTTTCTTTCCATTATAGCATAATCTAGGTTTTTATGGTTGATAGAGTTCCCTACACTTGAAACCCCATGCAGTTTGTATAAAACTGATATTAGGAGCTGGGGCCAGAGCTAAGTGAGTGAGCACTTGTCCAACATGTGCTAGTTCTGGGTTCAATCCAGGACCACATAAAAAATACAAATAGAAATAATTTTTAAGTACCTGTTTTTAATTGTGGGAATCAAAGTGTCTGGCTGTATTGACCTAAATTGCTTTAATGACAGCAGCTGACTAGAAGTGACTGTGGCCAGTCCTCCTTTGCACTAGATTTATGCTCCTTGGATGGCCCTAGTTTTGATATTTATAGTTTCCAGTGCATAGTACTTAAACAATGTGTTCTATTTTTACATGCCCTGATTTGTTTATTTATTGCTAGTGGAAAATGATTCTTTCTAAGCCTTAGGTCTATGCTTTGTAAAAATATAAAGTAAAAAAGACATAGCTGAATTACAAAGAAACTTAATTATTCAGTTAATGTTTTCACAAAACAGCCTCAGTGATATTTTCTGAAAATGTAAATATGAACAGTAACCAATAAACTCATATTGCAAAATAGAGGAGGGTACTTTGTGTTTCTGAGAAAGTCCATGTGTTAGTTATTTTTCTTGTGGCTATGATAAAACACGCTACCAAAATCAACTTAAAGGAAAGGGATTCTGTTGACTCACAGTTGGAGAGTACTGGCCATTGTGGTGGAGGAGTCCCGGAGGCAGGCATTTGTGGGAACTGGTTATGTTGCCTCTGCCTCCTCCGAAAGCAGAGAACATGAATGCCTATGTTCAACTCATTTTTTCCTTTTTAGACACTCGAGGAGATCATCCCATCAGGGTATGGTGACAGTCACAATGGATGGGTCTTTCCATCTCAATTAATCTACTCAGAGTAATACTCCACATTCACGCCCATAGATCATCTCCCAGGTGATTCTGAATCTCATCAAGTTGATGATTCACATTAACCAACACAGTCCACAATTTTGATATTACCTCTGTCTTCTTAAAAGACAGAAGAAAAAAAAAAAGACAGTTTCCATGCATATCTCCTTGCATTGCCTCCATGGGTTAGTAATGGACAGTTATAACTGTATAGCAGGGAGCTAGACTGAAGCCAAGCTAATGACTTCACAGTTTACAGCTCTACTTTGAAAATTTAAATTAAGAAACTTGTACTTCAGAGGTCAGTGTGTAGAATTTAAATATCGTATTTGACAAGTCTTTTGTTTGTTTGGTTTTTGTTTTCTTGCTGTGCTGGTGATTACAAGGCCTTGTAAATTCTAGGCAAATGCTCTACCACTGTGTGACATGCCCAGCCTTAAAAGTCCTGTTTGAGTTACTCATTTGTAAGGAATAATAATTCTACACAGTGCAGTTTTGTAGATCATATTAAATGTAATATGAGAGTGAAATTCCAGTCACTGCCCTAAGAATTTAATCTTGGTACCAATATTTCTCCCCAAAGGAGCATTTTTATTTCATTTGTGCTATAAACAAAATCTCTGTAATTGTTTTATCTTCCTCTGATGCTTTTAAATGAGGATGCTGGTAAAATTAGTTTAAATGCATTAATTGGAACTTATCTGGTCTTTGGTGAATATGCCTTTGATCCACAAGCTAAAACAGTTGTAGAACTAAGTAGAATTGT